TATGTGTTTGAAGGCATCAGAGAACCACCAAGGAAATGAAGAGTTGTGGGGCTAAGGTCCAGGAGAGGAAGGCAGTCTGGAGATGATCCCAGGTTTGGGGGCCATTTTTCTGTCCTAGCTGTGTCTGTCTATTCTGTGAGAACTGAGTGGCTAGCATGCCGAGGACAGCTTTCCACAAACTCCCAGGGCTGATGGGACAAAAACTGGAGACCTGCCAAGGAGGAAGTGACCTGCAAACATCCCAGGCTTTGTGTTGGGACCTGGGAGTAGGGTTGGACTAGATCCTTAACTTATTTCTACAATGTTTTATGTTTGGCCCCCAATCAACCAGACATATAAGAAAAGAAATTGTGACTAAAACCAAGAAAGGCAATAGACCATAGAAACAGACTCAGAGGGTATCCAGTTACTAAAGTTATCAGACATGGATTTTGAAATAACTGTGATGATTATGTCATGGAATTAATAGTCAAGATTGATAATTTCAGCACAGAACTAAAAACTTAAAGAAAAAAATCAAATGGAAATTCTAGAACTGAAAAAAATAAGAACTCAAATTAAAGACTCAGCGGAGGGGTTGAAATCAGCAAGAAAGGAGAACATTTATTACTATATTTTGCTTCACATAAAATGTATTTCGCTTCTCCTACCTCCAAAAGTCCTTCAAATTACAATTGAATTGCAACAGTGAGTAGCGTCTTACGTATAATCTTTTTATGCAATAAGAGGGCATTGAAGTCCAACTGAGCATCAAGAGAAGAATATATAAGTAGCAAGACAGTGTGTTATTAGGGTACAGGTATACTAGAATTGGATGAAGAGTTTAAGGAAGGCTATCCATAGATTAAAGAAGGATGGTCTAGAAGTCACAGCAGGTTTAATTCTCAGAGTGGATATTATGCTTCGGAGAGCTGGAATTTCAGCCCTATGTATATAGGTAAGGGTTACACTTAGCAGTGATTTGCTGCCCTTAAATCCTAACAGCACAAGAGGTGCTTAATCCACCTAGTGTCCTCATTTATCTTTTACAATTTATCTTTTCAATGTCATGTACTGTTCTTTTTAAAAACATATAAAGCAGAACCTTCATCCAACATTGTCAATTATAGAATAGCATTGATTTAAGGTAGTTACTCCATTTTAGACTCTTGATTGGAGGCCCCTAACCATTGCATATCAGATTAATAATAATCTCAGACCGTAATGTACCCTTAAGAATTGTCAGTGATGTTAAGGATGGTGTTATGCTGGGCTTGTAATGAATGTAGCATTATTTCATTGAATTGAAACACACGATTAACTGTCTTTTTTCCCCTCACAGGCCACCTCCACCACAACCGAAAGTATCATCTCAGGGAAATTTCATTCCTGCTCGTCCTGCTCCAGCACCTCCTTTATATAGTACCGTCACTTGATTTTTTTTGTTACCTTTCCTTTTGCAGATATCTTCAGGGAACTGAGCTGATACTTTTTTCTCCTGATACTTTCTTGAAAAGCCTTTCTTCCTGCTGCAATATGAATGAGAACACAATACTGCGAAACAAATTTTACTAACGCAGAAAACCCAGAAATTGAATAATAGGAATTGAGAAATATAAGAAATGCAGTAAAGCCAAGGAATTTAGAATAACATTTCCATTTCCATCCCTGAATAAGTCTTATTCAGTCATGTGTGAGGTTAATGCACCTAACATGGATTATATTATTTTGAACATGTTATTGTAATGATTCTCAAATAAATTGTATTGATTTGTTTTGTCAATATGTGCTGAAATGTAATTCTGAATTTTGATCTTAGTTATCATTAATGTAGTTTCTGGTTGAACATGTGATAATCTAATACCTATGAAAACTGATTACCAATAATATCTAATATTTTTCATCTTGCACAGACTAATAATCATCATATCTCATTCACTACATGAATAAAGGAATATTTTGTCTTCAGAAGAATGCACAAAACCCACAACTAAGATATCATAATATTTTGAAAGTACAAAGTACACTACAAGTGTGTATGTGTGTATTCACACACAGTTATTTTCTTCCATTTTTATGATCATTCTATGGATAAATGATTCTGTGGATCTATCTATGGGTAAGGAGTGTTAGAAAATTTAATTTAATAGTAGAAATTCTATTATGAATCATGTTAAAGCATGACATCCTTTTACAATAGCATTATTTTAAATAAATTATAAACTTTAAGGTACGAAGTATTTAATAGAACTAATCAGATATGCTGTTGATTCATGGCTATAATAAAGCAGGAGCAATTATAATATCTTCAATCAACTGAGCTGTCATAAAACCACTTTAGAATTTCATGAGCACTTTAAGTCTAAAATCTGAAACTTCGAAGCTTGCTATTAATATAATTTAGAATGTTTACATTTTCTAAGGTGTGCTGGATCATGTCTCTGTTGACACTAATATTTTCAAAGAAATTGGCCTGGAGAAAGGAAGGAAGAAAAGGTTTTCTTAGATAAATGCAAAAAAGTTAGTGTGGTATCTGTGAGTTATCATCCCAGCTGTGTTAAAAAAATAAATTTTTACTGTGGAAGAGATGGTATGGATGGTAAAATTTTAAACATTTAAAATTTTTTCATAACCTTTCATAATAAAGTTTAATATAGCTTTATTAACTGAATTTCATTAGTTTTTCAAAAAATTTTTGATTTGTGTATATATACGTATACAAATATAACATTTACAATAAATAAAATACTTGAAATTCTCATTTGTGTCGCCCAGTAACTTTCTAAATGTTCAGCTATTTATAACTTTGTTAATTAAAACATTATACTAGTTTTAGATAAAACTACTAGTCAAACTTTTACAGATATTATCTCACTAGTTTCTCAGACTTCTGCCAAATTGTGCACTATGGCTTTTTGTTATTAAAGGTAGACAGATTAGTTTTGAAGAGAGAGATTTCAGTTCTCTGAAGATAGTACATTAACAATCAGGTATATATTAAAAATTGTCAACAATCCCAAACTAAGAGTCTTCTTCTCAATTTAAATCTCTGAATGAATTCATAGAAGACTAAACGTTTATCATCTGTCTCAATATTTGCAATTGTAATTCATATCATTGAAATTTTACAGTCGGTAATATATTAACTACGTAACTTAAAGCTTTCCTCGGAAATAGATGCTTCCTCGGATCTTTGAATATTTAGAAAGTTTTTCTAAAAGACTGTTTGATCAGCCTAAACTTCTTTTACTTATTTATATAGTTTTACACATTTTGTATGCTTTTCACTTAGGTTTGTCCTTGATTTAGTTTGCATTGCTATTAAAAATTGTAAAATTTCTTAGTCATAGATGCCACTTCAAAATTTGAAAATATTAAAGTGCTTTCTTGCCATCTGCAAAAGATGTTTCAATAATCAAGGATAAATTATATGTATCTTTGATAGCACTGTGTGACTATGTGTTCGAAAATTAACCTTGTTCAGGGTACAGTAGTCCCCCCTTATCCGTGAGGGATACCTTTCAGGAACCTCAGTGGATGCCTGAAACCACAGATCGCACCTAACCCTATATGTACTATGTATTTTCCTATTCCAGTGGGCAGGTGACGCATACAGCATGGACACGCTGGACAAAGGGATGATTTACATCCTTTGCGGGAGGAAGCAGGACAGCAGGAGATTTCATCATGTTAGTCAGAAAGGGCACAATTTAAAACTTAAGAATTGTCTATTTCTGGAATTTTCCATTTAATATTTTCTGACCCTGGTTGACCACGCGTAACTGAAACCACAGAAGGTAGAACTTTGGATAAAGGGGACTACTGTATTGCATTTTCCCTTTCTATCAGTTGGATACCTGGGTCTCTAACCATATAGTTAAGCACAATCCCAGTGTTCTAAGCACAAATCAGATTTTATTAAATTTCATAGATGTTTACTGAAACTACCTCTTGCGGGTACCATATTAGGTACTGTGATATCTAAGTTCTGGATGGGACATGCATCCTGTTACGGAAAGGGCTATATACACAAGTAAAAATAATATAAAATCTAATCTATTAAAGATTGAGACAGGAAAGGCTGAGGAGAGGGAAGTAACGAAGAAAGGAAAGGACTAGAAATTCATTCAAAACACCGCTAACTGACAAGTCTAAGCATTTACTGTAATTGTTCTTCTAATACTGTGAACCCAACTTTTGGCTCAACTACTTAAAAGCAGTGTTAGTCTAGCATTGGCTGTTCCTGTTGAGATACTAGCTAAGTGTATATTTTTGTTGCCTTGTTTTTGCTCACGCTATTGCTTTTCAGGCTGCGATTGCCCTGCCGAAATCCTCTGCATCCATGAAATCTCATCCCAGCTGTCAGTTTGGATGTGATTCCCCAAGTGAGCTTCTGTGTTCCCACGGGTCCTGTTAGTTTGCGTGTTTGCTTTTCTGTTAATTAGTATGAGGGATGAATTCGTGCTTTGGGATTTGAAAAGAAACAAAAGATGGTGTGTACAGGTGAGACTGGGGGTGAGGGTGGGAGGGAGGAGGCCCTGCAGCCCCAGGGCATGAGCCGCTGTTCACTCAGGAGAGACCCGAGGTCGAGGCGGCTGAGCCCTGGGGACGGGAGAAAGCGGGCCGCAGAGCCTGCGCTCCGAATTCAGAAAACTGAATACTCTGCTGAGGAATTTGGCTAGAACTCTCTAGTGGAACATACACACTGTAATTATGGGCAAGAATCTCGTGCATCTCATTCACTGCGTGAGTGAATGAATATTCCTTGTCCGGAGAAATTACTGAACAGGAGAATGGCAACCCATGAATTTTAGCCGAGGGCTCGTGGAGAGCCAGGTCGATGGGAGGAAAAAGTAGACACAGCCTGGTCACAAAGTGCGTTTGGGCAAGTGGGTCTGGAGGAAAGCCGTAGCAGGCTCTTTCCAAGGAGAACAAAATCTACTCAGTTTTCCCTTTTTTGGAATCTTCTTCACACATCTGGTTAGTTGTTTTTTAATTTGAGAAACCCAGCTTCAGTAGTAATGAACATGTATATTTGTGTGCGAGCGTGCGTGGGTATATTTTCAGTGCAGAAAGTATTACACGTTCGCCTTTTAAAGCACATGGAAGTGCCTGAGACAAAACAGCGCACAGTCGGCGTGTTAGTTCTTCTAGGTCCGTCCCCACGGGGCGAAAGGGGGACGGGGGACGGCGACCGCGACGGAGGGGAGAGCCGGCGGCCGGGAGGCGGCGCGGGGCGGGCGGCGCGGGGAGGCTCGGGTCGGTTCGGGGCGGGTCCGCTCGGGGCGGCGGGGCGGTTCCGGGCCGGCGGGGGCGGGCGGCGCGGGGCGGTTCCGGGCGGCTGGGGGCGGGCGGCGCGGGGCGGGCGGGCGGCGCGGGGCGGCTCGGGGCGGGTCCGCTCGGGGCGGGGCGGGGCGACCGTTGGGCCGGCGCAGCGGCGCGCGGGAGGCGGCCTCGGGGCCGCGCGTCCCGGGTCGGCGGGAGCGGCGCCCGCCTCCAGCCGGCCCAACGGTCGGCGGCCCAGTCCCCACACGGAGCCGGGGAGCCACAGCATGCTCCGCATCCTGATGCTGCTTGCGGGGCTCGGTGGCGCGCTGGCGTCTGGACCTGGTAAGCCGCTGGAGACGCTGCTGCTGCGCTCTGGGGCGGAGGAAGGTTCTTCTTTTCCTCCCTTCCCGTCGGACTGTGACGCAACTCCGGGAAAAACCCGGGTTCCCCCGCTGGTCGGCTCCTCGTGTCCGGACACCCTGACACCCGGCGAGTGTGGGCGCCGCGTCGGGATAGAGAGGGGACTCAGGAGAGGGCAGGTCGTGTGACCAGCTCAGGGTCGAGGCTCTTGCTCTTTTGAATCCAGTCTTCGTGGTGGGCCCGTGTGCGCTTCACAGAAGTGCCTCCAAATTTCCTTCGCTCAAAAGCATGCCGGAACCTTCTAGAAGTCCACCCAGACACCAAAAAGCCTGACTGCCCCGAGGAGCGTTTGTTCCGGCAGAATTACTTGTCTGCGTACAGTAATTTGTCCTGCGACAAAAAAGCATTCAGTGCCTGCTCCGCTGACACCGACAGAGATAGATTATGGCGGGAAACGAAGAACAGTAGACAGAGTCCTCAAACTTATAAAACACATCAGGAGAGGTTTGGGTGCGAGTGAAATTTTTGCCTATGTTGTTTTCCTTCCCTTTTTATCCGCTGTTCCGAATCTGCCGTCCCGCTCAGTCCTGGAATGCCCGCCCCGCCCCCCTCCGCAGAGCGTTCGGGGTTTGGAGGCATCACGATTTATTTAGCCAGCTCTCTGAGTAACGGACTTTTGGGTTGATTCCAGTCTCTTTTGCTATTATGTGCTGTGTTGGTCAGCTCAGACTGCCGTAACAAAATACCCAAGACCGGGTGGTGTAGACAACAGAAATTCATTTTCTCATAGTTCTGGAGGCCGCAGGTCTGGGATGAGGGTGCCCTTGGGGGGGCTTCTGTGAGGTCTCTTCCTGTCTGGTAGACCGTTGCCTTCTTGCTGTGCTCACACGACCTCCTCTTTGTGTGTAGACGGCGCAAACTGTCTCTTCTTATAAGGGCGCTAATTCCATCATGGGCGCCACCTTCATGACCTCATCTAACTCCAGTTACCTCCGCAAGGTCCCATTTTTTACCACCATGTTGGGGATTAGGGATTCAACATGAATTTTTGGGGCACACAAAACTTCACCAGAACACGTGAAAGATTTGCCTTTTTTAATGTAGCTTTTTTTTTTTTTGAGGAAGATTAGCCCTGAGCTAACATCTGCTGCCAATCCTCCTCTTTTTGCTGAGGAAGACGGGCCCTGAGCTAACATCCATGCCCATCTTCCTCTACTTTATACATGGGACGCCTACCACAGCATGGCTTTTTGCCGGGCAGTGCCATGTCTGCACCCGGGATCCGAACCCGCAAACCCCGAAGTGGAACGTGGGAACTTAAACACTGTGCCACCAGGCCGGCCCCCACATGAAAGATTTTAATGCAGTGGTTCTCAAACTTTTCAGAATTTTTCCTTAGAGGTTAGAAATTATTGAAAGTCTCAAAGAGCTTTTATGTTTTTGTTTATATCTGTTGATATTTATCATATTAGAAATTAAGGAAAAATTCACTAGAATTCAAACAGCTGATATTTATTTGGGCAAGTAGAATTGCAATTTGGGAGATGCAGAGTCAGGTAGAAACCCAAAATGGAACACGAAAGAGGCAAGGGTTTATAAAAGCAAAAAGAGAAATCACACAGGTGGTTTTGTAAAATTTGTGATTTGTGCTGGCAACAACTGTTACTTCTTGGCTGTACTGATTCGTTGCCAAGGCCATCTCTAAGGCAAAAAGTTCTTTTCTATGGGAATAAGCGTATCTCTTGACAGAAGGCCAAGATGACAGCAGTATGGCCCAGTTGAAAAGTTATGTCCTATCTGGGTAGAGATGTAGTGTGCGTGCCTAAGTCCCATTCTCTTAATGGCCTCCTAGGTCCATTTTTATTTTTATTTATTTGTTTTTTTGAGGAAGATTGGCCCTGAGCCAACATGCGTGCCCATCTTCCTCTACTTTGTATGTGGGATGCCTGGCACAGCATGGTTTGATAAGTGGTGGTTGGGATCCCAACCAGCGAACCGCAGGCTGCCAAAGCAGAGTGTGTGAACTGAACCGCTGCCCCAACAGGCTGGCCCCTCCCAGCTCCTTTTTAGAAGCCTTGACAAATGTTACTTCATTTTGTTGTCACTGTCCACGTAATATGGAAATTTAAGAATTTTTATTAATTCGCTTAAAAATAACAGGATTGACTTATTATGTGTTAACATAAGTAACACATTTTAAAAATAAAAACTGTATTTTCCAAAACAAAAAGAATTTAGAGAGGGATATTGTTTTACGTTTTTATAAATCTCCTTAATGTCTAGCTTAATAGATGACAACTAGATTCTCATATCTACCTGCGCATTCAGTCTGTTGCTATATGTCTTGTTGGAAATACATGAAGAAAATCCAGTTTATGTAGTTGGAAAAGGGAAGAGTGTTTTGATAGCCTTTTCAGATAATTAACAATATTCTTCTTTTGATATTACACCAAAACTTGTTAAGTGGTAAAGGTTAGTTGCAATGCAGAAGCTAAAACCTACCAATGAACTTTTTAATATGCTATATTAAAATTTATTGGTCTATCTTGAACTTTAGTGGATCTGTTACCCATGAGTTTTTTTAATGTATTACCTTTATTTTTTAATTTTTAATTTAAGTTGTGGTAAAATACACATAACATAAAATTTACCATCTTAACCATTTAAAAAAGTGAATAAACTTTATATTTTAGAGTATTTTAGGTTCACAGCAAAATTGAAAGGAGGGACAGAGATTTCCCATACACCCTCTGTCATCACACATGTACAGCCTCTGCTGTTGACATCCTGTGTCACAGTGATACGTCTGTCAGGACCCCACACTGACACATCAACACTCAGAGTCAGTAGTTTACCTTAGGGTTCTCTCTTGGGGTTGTACGTTCTATGAATTTTGACAAGTGTATAATGACATATATCCTCCATTATAGTATATAGAATAGTTTCACTGCCCTTAAAATTCTCTGCACTCTGTCTGCTCATCCCTCCCCCCTAACTCCTGGAAACCACTGCTATTTTTACTGTCTCCACAGTTTTGCCTTTTCCAGAATGTCAGGTAGTTGGACTCATACAGTATGCAGCTTTTTCAGATTGGCTTCTTTCACTTAGTAATATGCATTTATGTTTCCTCTGTGTCCTTTTTATGGCTTGATAGCTTATTTCTTTTTAGTGATGAGTAATATTCCATTGTCTGGATATACCGGTTTATTTATCCATTCACCTACTGAAGGACGTGTAGGCTGCTTCCAAGTTTTGGTAATTATGAAAACAGTTGCTGTAAACGTTCATGTGCAGGTTTCTGTGTGAAGATAAGTTTTCAGATCCTTTGGGTAAATACCATGGAGCACAATTGCTGGATCATATGGTAAGTGTATGTTTAATTTTGTAAAAAACTGCCAAACTGTCCTTCAAAGTGGCTGTACCAGTTTGCATTCCCACCAGCCATGAGTGAGCGCTCCTGTTGCCTCACATCCTTGCAAGCATTTGGTGGTGTCAGTGTTCCTGACTTTGGCCGCTCTGGTAGATGTATAGTGTTATCTCACTATTGTTTTAATTTGCAAGTCTCTAGTGGCATATAATGGAGAGCATCTTCTCATCTTCTTATTTGCCATCTATATGTCTTCTTTGATGAGGTGTCTGTTTGGGTATTTTGCTCATTTTCTAACTGGGTTTGGTTTCTTATTGAGTTTTAAGAGTTCTTTGTATATTTTGGATAACACTCTTTTATCAGATGTGCCTTTTGGAAATATTTTATCCCAGTCTGTGACTTGTTTTCTCATTCTTTTGATGTTGACTTTCTCAGAGCATAAGGTTTTAATTTTAATAAACTTCAGCTTATCAATTTTTTTTTTCATGTGTTGTACCTTTGGTGTTGCGTCTGAAAAGTCCTTGCCATCGTTAAGGTCATGTAGATTTACTCCTACTTCTAGGAGTTTTATAATTTTGCATTTTGCATTTAGATCTATGATCCATTTTGAGTAAATTTTTGTGAGGTATGTAAAGTTCATGTCTAGATACATTTTTTTTTTTGCATGTGGAAATCCATTGGTTCTAGCATCTTTTATTGGAAAGACTATCATTGCTCCATTGTATCGCCCTTGCTCTGTTGTCAAAGATCAGTTGACTATATTTATGTAGGTCTTTTTCTGGGCTCTCTATTCCAACTGATTGATCTGTTTGTCTCTTTTGCCTGTACCACACTGTCTTGATTACTGTAGTCTATAAGTGTATAAGTCAGATAGTGTCAGTCCTTCAACTTTGTTCTTCCGCAATATAGAGTTTGCTATTCTGGGTCTTTGCCTCTCATATAAACTTTAGAATAAATGTGTTGATATCCACAAAATAACTTGGTGAGACTTTGTTTGGGATTTCATTGAATCAATAGAAGAAGTTGGCAAAGAATTGCCGTTTTGACAATTTTGAATCTTCCTATGTGTGAACATGGACTATCTCTCCATTTATTAACTTTTTGTTCGGTAACTTTCATCAGTTTTATAGTTTTCCTTATAGAGATCTTGTACATACTTTCTTAAATTTATAACTAAGTATTTCATTTTTGGGGGTGCTAATGTAAATGACATTGTGTTTTAAATTTCAAATTTCACTTATACTTTACTGGTATATAGGAAAGTGACTGACTTTTATATATTAACCTTGTATCCTGCAAACTTGCTATTTTAACCATTTTTACCTATATAGTTCAGTAGTGTTAAGACATTCATATTGTTGTGTAACGTATCTCTAGAAGCCTACATTTTAAAATAAATAAATTAAGTTTTATTATGGTAACATTGGTTTATACATTATATAAATTTGAGGTGTACATCATTATATTTTGCTTTCTGTGTATATTACATCATGTTCACTACCCAAAGACTAATTAAAATCCATCACCACACACATGTGCCTAATCACACCTTTTGCCCTCCTCCTATCCACTTTCTGCTTTGGTAACCACCAATTCAGTCTCCGTCTCTATGTGA